CTCGCTTGACTCTGAAGATGACACTTTGACTATGTACCCATGTAAAAAAACCGAATATTTGTGTTTCAAGTTCTTGAGTCATAACTTGGTTTTCTAAAGATCCTCTAGAAAACGTAATTTGCAAAAAAGGTGTCAGAATTATTTTCACGATGAAAAGATGCGGTCAAGTCTTTGATTTCAATTGTTGAAGACCGCAAGTTTCTATCACTTTCCTGACAAATCTTATTCAAAAAACATCCGAGTCCATTCTTTTTTTTACTGACAATACTCCGAGACTGTATAGCTCTTGGAAAAAATCAAATTTCTCAGCCAATATACGACCAAGTGCTGGGAATTTTTTTCTCCATAAACCTCGAGAGTGGTACTATCTAATATATGATCCAGAATTCTTTTATTCGCAGATTGTTTTTGTCCGGTATTCTTTTCGAAACGGTACCATCCAAATGCAATTCTCTCATTCCTATTCCCACCAACAGTAATAGTTACTGAAAGTATTACTGTTGCTGGGAACAGGAATATTCATAAAATTAGTATTACTTTCCAGTAAAGTAATACAAGAAAACTTTTCTTCAAAGGCTATTCGAGATTTTCAAACGTGTTCTTGGATGAATATTTCTACCAGAAAACTTAGAAAAGTCAGTCAGACGAACATTTTCTCTTTTTGTCCTGCTGAAATTTCTACTATCTTTTTCAGATTGTGAAGCCTGCGGTTATTTGTTGAATAACTCAGGAACGGAAAGAACGAAAGAATTCAGATTTTCATCATCCAAAAGAAGCAACTCTGAAGCATCTTTTTACAATAGAAACTAATCCAAAACCTCTCTCTGGAGTAGGTTTCCGAGGAGATCGGTGGAAAACCAGCTCATTGCTCAAAATCTTCAAGTAAGAACATTATAGATAGCCCAGAGTGTAGGACTGTAAAAGTTCCCGTTACTTCTTCAACCGTTATCGACAACGGTAACTATCAGTTAGTTAACTTTACGCTAACTGTTTCTTTCTCCTTATTATTTTACATTTCTCATAATCATATTTTGAAAATTAAGTTTCAGAAAATAATCATAGGCGCTAAGTTTATATTGCTCGTCATTCTCAGTGAGTCAAACAATAATGTTTCTAGGGTTTTACTGTACTTAGGAACACTTCCTTTCAAGAAATTATTTGATCGCTTTGCGTTTAACTAAAATGTTGAATCATGACTCATGATTCAACATCGTTTTGGAAAGAATATTCACTGGCTATGCCGCAATTAGCAACGATCGTGAAAATGTTCATGGCAATACCTGCTACCAGTGTGCCTAGTGAGGCAGCTTTCTCAACTGCGAATTATCTTCAACGAAAAACTAGATGCTCATTAATACAAAAAACACTAAAAATTTGTATGTTTTTGAAAGGCAAAGTTATTAGTATATGACTATGCAGATTTTGTTGTCACGTTTCATTTTCACTAATTAATAAACTTGATAATGGACGATAACGATAATTTGGTTTTTAGTGATTCTGTACATACGAACGCTTACTGGCCTTCCGCTGTGTGGCTATTTCTAGCATAATTAAAAGAAGTTAGCGTAAAGTTAACTAACTGATAGTTACCGTTATTTTAACGGTAACTGTAAAGGCAGTTAGCGTTAAATCAACGGTAACTGTCTTTTCAGTTACCGTTGTTTTAACGGTAACTGCACCCTCAGTTAGCGTTAAATCAACGTAACGGGAACTTTTACAGTCCTACCAGAGTGTCCTGTTCCAAATGGGGGTCAGGCAAGACTTTGATTTTCTACTAATTTTATGAATATTCCTATTCATAAAATTAAAGTTAAAAGTTGCTGGGAATAGGAATATTGTTCAGTATTACTGTTACTAGTAACAGGAACACGTAGAAGATTACTGTTACCAGCAACAGGAATGCCTTACAGCATTACTTTGCTCGGTAATGTAAAACATGAGTAACAGTAATACTGCCACCTCTAATTACGACTAATTTTTTGTCGCGTCCTGCAGTGCGCCATGACGCAGACGGATAAACACCCCATACTATATATTTCGCTGAAGGTTTTCAAGCATTTAGGTCTTCTTTGCAACCTTATCATAACTTTCGAATAGATAAACATTTAAGAATTTTAGTTCATCGTTGAGCCAAGAGGAAATTTTTCGAACAAATTCTTTGCTCAAAAATTCGACGAGCGAAAGGACGGTCCAGACTAGTACGGGATGTTCGGACATTTCGGACTAGTCATGACGGCCGTCTTCAGTAACTTTTTACTTACCTGGGATGTTTTTAAATAAAATGCACCTGTTTTGTCACAATTATCACTTGAAAAATGCCTGAGAAAATCGAGATTTACGAAAAAGAAAAATTTTCCCCATCAATAAGAACACCGACTCTATTGATCCATATCTAGGCGGAGAAAAATATATTTTACTCCCGGTTTTTTCGACGCGTAGAATATAGTCTACGTCTACGTTCTACGCATTGCATTATTTCTGACGGTTTCCCTTACGGTGGACTGCGTTTTCCTTCTAGAAAATACTCATAGCATAACTCGTGCAGTTCTGGATACCGGTTTTTTTCCGCTGTCAAACATATTTTTACTTCTTTATTCAATATTTTGGAGAAAAGAAAACTGAGAACGTTATCACGCACTACATTATTAAAATGGACATATTTTACGAGCATACAAAAGTATACGACTATTTTGAAGACATGCTTTTAGATAAAATGCATTTCTTTTGTTAGAATCTAAGCTTTCACGAAAAAGGAAAATGTTTTATTACTTCTACGAATATTTTCAAGTGCATTTTTTGACATCTCCGACGACAGGCGTTGCTCCATCTATCAGCATGCTCAAAAACCCAAGTTAGTGTCAACTTGCGCAAGTGATTTGACAACTGACTTTGAGACTTCTGTACTGAAAACGTTGAAACAAGAATATTATCATTTCTTCTTAAATTTAGTCTAATCGAGGCTGTTCCTGGGCAGAATCTGTCGCTGTTTCGATTGTTAGGAAAAAATACAAAATGATTCTAAATTAATATGCGAGAAAACGAAAGAAATAGAAAGACAAATTCACTGAAGCGTAAACAAACACATTTCATCTTTCTTTTATAAATAGTAAGACGTGAATGATATTTGAAACAGATATTTTGTAGGCTCATCGTTATATTTTGGTTAGAACTTATCGTATAAACAACCATCATGGATCTATCAAATATCGACTTATCAAAATTTGATGGTTTAGCATTTATTTGGCTTGATATTGAAACGATTACTGGTACAGGAGTGTATGACACTCTAAGTTCGCCAGACACGTGGTTTGTTCATAAAAACCCAGATGTATGTGAAGACTTCATATGTAGTGATTTAAAAAATAAACAAATATTTCTGATAACATCTGGTAGTTTGGGCCATAAAATTATAAAATCGATTCATCATCTTCCACAATTACATTCGGTTTATATCTATTGTCAAGATATCGCACGTCATACACCATTGGCTTCTGAGTTTAAGAAAATACGATCAGTCTGTAACAAAACACAATCTCTAATATCACAATTAGCAATTGATGTAGCACACATCTGTGTGAACATCGGTGATCAACATTCAAGACTAAATAAACATAAACAGGCATTAGTATGGTACGAAAGAGCATTTGAAAAGATAAAACAACACAATGGTTTAACCAAGAATGAATTTGTTAATGCATTAAAATCTAAAATAAATATCAGTACATTAGAATGTCAGGTAAGAAATCTGTCCTACAAGTTAGTCACCCATAGTCAGGGCGCAATTGGACACGTAGAAAACAAATGCGTCTTTCTACAACCGTCTGCAATAAAAGACTGTTCATTCCAAGATGTTGTTGCACTTTCTAAACGAAATCTGTGTGATACAGGTCAGTTTAATGTCTAACCATTTTTTCAATGAAGGATGTCTCACAGACACATAAATATTCGAATGTGGCTGTACATTTAGTAGACATGTGAGAAATAAGGTGAAAAATCTATCTGTATTTGTATGCTCGAATACATGAAACAATACGTGCACAGTAAGTTGAATACTCGAGAGAGAGAATGTATTTTTTATTGTTTAAGTGTTTGTTCATTGTTGTTGAAAAAACGTTCAAGTCTCATAACTCATCAAATAATGTTGATACCTTGATGCACGTCAGCATGCGTCAAAGATTAATAATTTAACCTATATGTTACAGGCATTTCTCAAATTCAAGCAGATTTTAAATTTGTCTAGATAGATCTCTAATTAGATATCTGCCTAGGGAAATTATCAAATCGAAATGGTTGCATATGTTGATTTCAGATCTACTTAGGCAAGTATCTAATTTTAAAATTGTCGAGGCGGATTTCAGATTCGCCTAGGCAAATTTTAATCTGGATAATAAAACATGCATTATGCCGTATTTTCACATGAAGAAAATCCAACACGAACGGAGAAAGGGAGAGACATGGGCAGATTCGGAACCATAAAAATTTTTAACCAAGAGTAGAAACAGTCGTTTGATACATAGGTATCTAGTATAGTTCTAGATAAAACAAGTTAGAAATATTCATTATTTGCTGTTCTGTGTAGGCTCATTAGACCGAAAAGTGAACGTTTTCCGATCGGTAAAAATTTCCCGTACGGTTGATAAAAACGTTTTTTTACGCTGCTTAAGTACCAACAAAATATGAAAACTACATTAATCAATAGAGGAGAGCGCGAGCTACATTTTGGTAAAAGAAGGATTTTGAAAAGCTTTTTTCTTGGGGTCAATACGCGACTTTAACGCCTTTTTATTAACGTTGATTTTGAAACATTTAACGCATTTTATGATCGTTGAAAACGAAAAAAAACATGTTTTTTTGTAACCTTTTTACCCCTGGGTATTCACCGCCTTGTTTTGCGGTCAGCCAAGTATATAAGCACAATCGAAAAGCGAAGAAATATCATCTTCTTTTCGTTCTTTTTCCGTTTTAGATTATCAATTTTGTGCTTCCTTTATTATAGACTTTCAACTATTTTTAGATCAAGTCCCATTAGGTAGCCAAGAAAATTGAAAATACAGTTTTAAAAAAATGTAAAACTGGATTCTTTTTTTTTTAAAAAAAAATAATGTAAGATTCGTAATCAGCGCCCAAAACTGCATCTAGTGATATGCTCCTTTCAGTTCTACTCTAAAATAATTTTTTCAAAACTTCTTCAGCGAAATCTTGACTTTAAATAGACGCCGCTAGCAAAGTATTATTTAAAGAGTACGGATTCGTGACATCTTTCCAAAAACATATTTGATGGGGTCGAATCCGTTACCGCTCTTGGGAAACGTTAATACACATTATATGCGAACATTTAACCCATTCAAACGCTGCATTTTTTTCTGGAAAAAAAATGTTAACACATGCTGACCTACGTTAAAGTATCAGAATTCTTTCATAAGAAGAACTATCTGTCTCTGATTTTATTTTGAAATGCATCCCCCAAAGCAAGTTATCTGATTTAGTTTAAGTTTCGCAGTGATATAATAGAACTTTATATTCTCGATTTTGTTATGGTTCAAGATGAATGCTTAAACGAACTTATTATGCCGATAGACATTTTGGATTTGTTCAGGGATTTTTTTTCTTGTTTGGTCATCGTTTTTGCAAAAAGTGAGTCGTATGATCTAGAGAACTACGTAAGGTAGAGATATTCTGAAAACGAGAGATAGTTCTCTGGATACTGAATGTGGACCATTTCACGTTCTATTTTTAAACAATCAGCTTCGGCGAGATGAGTTTCACAAGTGGAAGAAAAGTGTGTCTTGGACTTCGAACTTTTAATTATCATTAGTTGTCCGGCGCCATATTTTTTTATTTGTAGATAGAATTGAGAAATGAATCTGTGTACATATCTTCGAACTAGTGAATTTTTGTTTCCACATACATGCATCTGATAAAAGGTATACTAAGTGATCATCAGTTCTTTAAAACATAGAAGACACACCGAAGAATAATTTTAAAACGTTCATTCATTGATTCTTGAAACGGTTTAGAATAATCACAATAAGAAGAAAAAAGGACCGATAATTACTCCGCTGAAACTGCTACAAGTCTCTTTATAATATTTACAGCTTCTTATCCTTTATGTATTGGTCGAAAGGATGGTTTACTCTGGTGTTATGTTATCTAAGCACATAGCCTCAAAAGTGTGCTGGTTTTCTTCCTCATTGATACTGTGACAAGTTATTACTTAAATATCTGCCGTAATGTTAGATAGTTGGAAGTGTCCACATTGCCTATCGCCATCGCAACTTGTGCGTAGCACAATTGCAGTCTAGTTTGATTTTGTTTTATACATGACTGAATGCTGCTATTTCGAATGAGAAAACTTTCGACAAGCATATGATTTATAATTTTAAAAACTTAAACACTAAACTAAACCGCAAATATATTCATTCGAAATAGTAGCATTCAGTCATGTCAAATCAAATAACGTCGTTTTAGCGTTCATCTTGTTTAAGCGTTTTCAACAACATCGACAACAATTGGGAGAAGGAATGAATGAAGTTAAATATCAACATGAGTTGCTACGACAACTGCTTGATGTACCAACACCACTATCGTCAACAGAAAAGGATGATAAACACATAGCTGCTACCATTAAAAAAATCGACGAATGGGAACGAAAAAATATACAGCAAATAAAAACAGTAGCTGAGCGTGTTCGACAACAACTACAGAAACAAATAAATGAAATAAACAAAGTAAACAAAGTTAAACATGATTTTCGTTTAATAAACGATGAATTAAGACAGAGGCAATCGGAAGATGATTATGTTGAAGCAGATTTGCAACAATGGCTGGAAAGATTACAACAACTGAAACATCAACTTGAAACAACAACCATCTCTGATACCAGTCAAATAGATGTTCAGATAACTGATGACATTGACTGGTCATCAATGGTTAAATTAGTCGAATCGGACGTGTCAAAAACATGGGTGAGGACCAGGGAGATATCGATGGTCGAATCACTTTGTCTTGTAATAGTTGGCTGATGATCTCTTGAGTGTCCTTTCGCTGTTGGATGGTCTTTGGCATGGGTCTGGAGTTGAC